AAACTACAGGGAGCCAGTGGAAGGACTGGTTGGTTGTTTTTGACTGAAATAACCAAAAAGAGACAGGAAGAGGGTCTTAGCGCTGTCAGTCACCCTCGTGTATGCGTTGCTCACCAATGACGGCGGATTAGCAGTTCTCCTGGATCGATAAGTTCCTTCTCTGCCATTAGTACATTGAGCACGGGGATGATTGACAGCGCTAAGACCCTCCTCCTGGCTCTGATTGGTTGTTTTTGACCAGGAGCGGTGCATATGTTCAGACGGCAATAGTAGCTCAGGTAGGAGATGGATGAGCTTGAGCTTTTCACAGATTATCATTCTCGTATTATACTGCCACGACGCGGTGACACTTTTAGCAAATGTGTTCAAAACATACAAGTTAAAAACTGCTCATGAATACATATTTGCATGCCATTTTGTGACTGTAACTCCGAAACCAATTCATTCGATTCCATCTTATCACGCTATAGTTCATACTTTCAGCTAAACCACATTTTAAAATGCCGCCGTTACAAGTCAGGAGCCTCTGATCTAGAGGGTCAAATTCACCGCCTTTATTATTCTGCATAGAATTTATAGCACAGCTATTACTAAAGATCAATAGCACTTAAACTGCTCCATCGATATTGAAACCTGCGCTGATTTACAAGCACACGGTCCTAGTCAAACCAAGACAAATACGCACCGTTGCACAGCAATATTTAGCCATTGTTTGCTGCTGTCTAAATGCCGTCCTCTCAGTTCTCAGAGACCATTTGTTAACACACCTCCAGATACTACATGTACACTCGGTAATTCAAAAAAGAAAAAAAAAAAAAGGTCTTTCAATAAATTGGACTGGAGTGTATAAATGTCTATTTAATTTATATTCAGTGTATTAAAATCCAGCAAGCTTGGAAGTGTGCGCCCCTACACGCACACTTCCAGTTAACTGTATTTGAAAGGATTTTCTTTCCCAGGCAGCAGTTTGGTCTCACCACTATATAGACAAATCAAGACTAACAAACAGACACACACACATGCACATACACACTGCTATACAAATACAGGAACACAAGAGGGCACAGAACGTGTTTACTCTGAGAGCGCCCATGGCCGGGGCCTCGGGCGCTTCTCTGGCAGGTGAGCAGACGAAAAGATGGACTGCCAGCAGAGAGTGAAAATCCTATCAACTTAATGTGCAGAGTGGCGCACTTATACCGGCCAGGGCTGGGATTTGATTACAGACAATCACTTGGGAGTTACATGTAGGCAACCGTTGCAATTTAGCTCAATCCAGGATTTGTGTCTTCTCAACGTTTCTCTGCTTAAAAAATAAAATAAAATCCCTCTGACACTCGGCTCATTACAGTGACATAATGTACCTAGCATGCACTTCAAAAAGCTGCATGTTAAGGATTATACTAAGCAGTTTTTTTTTTTTTGTATATTAAATTTGTTGTATATGATTAATAAAAATGTGACACGATTTCGATACATGTAGGATTCAATCCAGTTTAATTGATTGCCTGTCCATTGCGTTTCTACGCAGTTCTGTTCAATTCTCATTTCCCTTCAGAGCCCGTTTGGGATTTCTTCCATTGAGCTCAATTTCTCCAGTAGAATTTCAACTCAATGTACAGAGGGAGGGGTCCTGAAATGATGACGTGGATCTTCTGTGCTGTAAGTCTACCATGGTTGTAGTTTGACAATGGCAGCGGAGAAAGTGAATGAAGCCGTTAATTCAAAGTTGGCCACGCTTCCACATACTGAGAGATTCAAATCGGACAAAGGGGAATGCTTAAAACATATTTTTGCTAGCAAAGATGTCGTTTGGTGCGGCACTTCTCTGTTCGCAGTGAGGGCTGGTTGTTTACAGCACACGCGACTTCTGGCAAACTTCATAGCATAACTGACGCATTACATATGTCATAGCTAAACGTTAGCGATTGGGTAAAATCAGATTCGATCGATTAAAACTTCAACAGAGTTCTCCTCTTAAGCAAGTGACCGCTTCCAAATCCTCTGTACAAAGTGAAGCCTTGAACAAGGGACTCATTTTCCAAAAATATCAAATAAAAAGCATGCTATTGATGTAAACACTTTTACACCTTTGTGTAGGTATATAACATTATTTAATGGTTAAAAGAAAAGATTAAAAAAGTGACTGGTGGCTTTGAACGTGATATAATATGATTATTTGGAATGTCTGTCATAGCTGCTGTGTAACGTCTCACTCTTGGTTCATGAAGGATTCACAGCTTAACTAAAAACATATCTAATAATTATTCATAAGTTCTGTGTAATAATTCTCTTTAAAGTGATGTTTTCCTGGCTGAAGCTGCAAATTTCTCTGTATTCTACTTTTTAAAGATAGAGCGAGAAAAACATTTCACACCCACAAGCACAGAAAGAGTTGTTCAGCACTTCTGAGGGTCAGCTTCGGCGGATAACCGTTGAGGTCATTTTCAATTTGGAATGCCAATTTTCATCTTTTGAATCCGCAATCTGCGAGTTTTATGGCCAGAGTCGTTTTGAAGTTCTGTGTCGGCACAGCATCAAGGTCTCCCCTCCCCCCGTTTCAGAAATTGAATCACATAAAATGCTACCCAAAAAAAAAATTCAAAACCGCAGGGAATTTCATTGATTTGCTCGTTTACTCAATCACTGGTTCACAGTACAACAGCAGCACGTTTCCACCCTCGGTTGCTCGCATTTGATTACCACTTAACAACTGTTTCTGTCCAATATGTGTAAGCATATTTCAGACGATCACAGGAATCAGCAACAGTCTTGGTAATATACATTATTTTTGTTGTGTAATAGATTAATTCTGAGGTTGTGGACACATGAATGCCATCATTCATTTTCAGTTACATTTTCGGGTAAATAAAAAAATGATATATTTAGTTGCCGTTTGACTCCATCTGTACAGTCCTCACACTGTTGGTGAAAACTGGGCGACTGAAACAAAACATACAGTAAATGGATGAGAGCATGGAGACGTGCAATGCCACTATATAACCAGCAAACCCAGAGGAAGAGGCTACATCCGGAGGATGCTCAAACTACTGATGCCTCGAGAAAACCTCCTTCAACATTTGATGATCGCTGGCATTTATCAGCCCCAGTGACCGTAAGGGCACTTAGAGCTGCTACTTCGACATACTGCTGGACTCTGCTCTACTGGACAGAAATTTTAGTGTCTGGAAAAGATCTTTATACAACCCTAAAGCTTCCAGGCTTCTGATAGAGGACCTGAACTTAAAGTGGGCGTGTGGAGAGTTATTTTTTGAGGCAGTCAAACAGTGTTTACCACTGATCTCTGTTATATTGGAAACACTCTGGAATGCTTGATCCTAACTTAAAGAGTTCAGAAGATTTGGGGGTTTGCTGAGGAATTGTGTAGTGGTGTTTTTTTTTGTGTTTTTTTTTTGCATCATTAAAGTTTAACATGGATTAACTGAGAATTGTAGATGGATACAGAACCTCCATTGTTCACAGACCACATTCACTCAGCCTGCACATAAACAAACATGAGCTCAGGCAGGTAGAGTGAGTCCAAACGCAGAAGCTATAAGGTGAGTCGTTCCATTCGCTCAGTTAGATTAACTTTTTTTTTTTTTTTTTCCATTCACTTCACAATACTTTTTACTTCTATGTGAGCAACATTGTTTTGAAGTAAGGCTGCTGTTACTCGACTACCATTTCTGGCTGCTCTACCCGCCTCCAGTTTCTTCACTTTAACCAAAAGCTGCATTCCCGTTTGAACACAAGCCTCAATGTTGTATTGATATTTTCTATCTGCTGAGCAACATGAAGGTCGAGTAAACAGACAGTAAACAGTAGATATTGTCCCTGGATGTACTTTAGCTAGTCTATCCATCAACTACAGTAAGCACTGATTTTTGTTGTAAAAAGAAAATAAAATGTGGAAATGTGTGTGTGTGTGTGTGTGTGTTCCGCCTGAATTTGTCATTTTGTAACGATTATGATTTTTTTTTTTTTTTTTGAAACTGCACATAATTTTACATCTTAGTCTGCATGACTACACTGAAAATAATTTTGAGTGACATTTACTCAGAAAAAGCCAGGCAAGTTTTTACACTTCTAAAATTCTTTGGGAAAAGAGATATTTTTAACAATTTTGGACAAAATGTACCCAGTTGAATCGTACATGCGTCTAAGTTGGGAGCTCATCGCAATAGTTTAGCTCATACTGCTTGACATGGTGGCTTAAGTTTACTTGTCTTTTGATTCAAAGTAACACAATATACTACATTTTAAAGCAAAGGCGCTAACATGATAACTTTTTTGTAAAATTTAGATAATAATCGGGGGGGAGTAATATTTACAGGACCACACGTAACTTATTTTCAGGTGATTTAATTTTTCACAAATTAAGTCAGATTAAATGGTAACACTCAACATTACTCATGACATTTTACCAAATACCTTTTTTACTGTCACTTGAGAAGTTGTGATGGTTGCTATATTTCTTAATTTTACTCATGTGGTGCTACTTGTTCCCTGAGTACAATTTTTTGGATACTCCACCAAGAAGAGACAGATCATGAATGTGATAACAGGGGAACACTGTCACAATTTCACCGGCACATCCAAACCGGTGCGCGTTTATTGAGGACGCAGTGAAACTTAACCTGCTCAGTCTCTCTTTCCTCTACTTTCCTTATCCATCTTAGACATATGCATTTCACCTACAGTGAACATTTTCAAGACCTCCCCTCACGTCCAACAAACAGAGACTCGGCCAACTATCAAAGCCGTCGCCAGGAGCCTCTATCCCCCCCCATCGCCCCCTTCAACTCACCATCAGTCACTCAGCGGCGGATTAATCCAAGCAGTCACCCGAGACAACCGATCAGTCACTCATCAGTCGCGCTCACCCAACATGCCACCCATCTGGAGTGGCACATCAGCTCACTCCGCGGGAGTGATTTCGCGCCTCCCCGCCTAAGACCGGGGAGGTGGATGGGAGGAGGGGAGGGAGGGGGTCTTACCTTGAGCGCTTCGATATCCAAAGACGTGGAGCGGTCCATGACTGATTCCGTTGAGCTGCAAATCAAACAGAAAGTCCCAAAGGCGAAGATGATCAGAGGAAAACAGATTAGAAACGGAACCAGAGGAGGGGAGAGAAAGCAAAAAAAAAAAACAAAGAAAAAAAGAAAAGTTGGGGAAGCTCTCTAGAGTCCCAAACTCTGCTGCTGCTGCTGCTGCTGCTGGTGCAGCAGCAGCATCTTCCCTCCCCGCAACTCCCCTGGGCCGTTGCTAAGACTGGGTTGTTAATATTCCAGTAGGGCGACGGATTTTCTCAGTTTCGAGCCTCCAGGTGGGACGCTTGGCAAAAAAAAAAAAAGAAAAAAAAAATTAAAAAGTCCCCACCGCCGCGCGCGCACACATGTACATCCAACCTCCGGTCAGTCCGTGCAGCGAACGAAGGGAACGAAAAGACGTGAAAATAAAAAAATAAATGGGGGGGGGGGGGGGGGGGAGGGCAGCGCCGTGCGTAATGATGTTCTCAGGAAGAAGCGGCTTTTGCGCACTTGGCGATCCCTGCTTTCTGTGGTTGTTACATCTGAGTGAGAAACATTCCCCCACCGCCCCCCAATCCACTTCCTTCCCTCTGCTGGAATGATGCCGGGATTCTGGTTCTCTCTCTCCCTCACCCTCCTTCTCTCTCTCTCTCTCCTTTACACACACCAGCGCGCGCGCACACACACACACACACAC